ATAAACAAAAGAAATATAAACTGTCGACCAAAATATATATATATAATTAAGAAGCATTATGTACCGAGCAACAATACTCAATAGCTCTGTTTTAAACATTGTGTTTAAAAATGGTATGTTTTGATTTGTCAGCCAGTCTTGGATATTTTTTTTTTGTCCATGCATTGTTGGGCACTTTGTTCAATATCATGCTGTGATAAGGGGCGTTATCCAGTATAATCATAGATGGACTCTCCAATTTTTCTAATAACTGATGTTGAGACCATTTCAAAAAATTGTCCTGGTTCATCTCTCCATGGTAATCGCTCAATTTTGTTTTCGAAGAAAATATCGCTTCACTACCCTCAATAAACCCATTTTCATTTTCAGCAAGTAATATAATGTATCTAAAATATATTAGTTTTAAATTTTATAGTGCAAATTGTGTAAAAGTACATATACCTTTTACCATCTGTTTTAATAGCTTTCACGCTTTTTTGGTTTCCATTTTGCCAAGAGCGACCTATGGTCCCATTTTGAAATATCCAAGTTTCATCGAGGAAGACAAACTGGTATAAGGCCTCAACCTTGGCTTGATTGTATTGCCTTAGAAATTCCACCCTTTTCAAAGCTATACTTGGTAGTTCCATGAGCCCTCGTCGCGGATTGTCCTTAAGCCACTTAAATCCAAGATCTCTAAGCAACCGCCTTAAAGACGTGGCACTACCATCAAATAATGCCCTATCTCTTAATCGAGACCATAAAGTTTGTATCGTAACTTGTTCTTCTGAAACCATGTGTAATATGACATTATAATTTAGTTAACAAATTAATGCAAATTTCTGATAAGTTATTATAATAAGATCTTACTTTTGTGATACATATTATAGATCGCTTCTCGAATGGCACTTGTATCCAATGTCGCTGTGTTGGTTACACGTTTAATATAACTCCGCTTTTTCGTGGGCGATTCTAAATTTGCATCACTTTTCACACCCTCGGAAATACGACTAACTGTCCTTAAACTAATTTTTAAAGCAGCAGCAACACGCTACAAAAAATGAAATAAAATTTCACTATTATTAATATACATTACATATAATTATTAGTAACCTACCTCTTGAACAGCATTTAAAGGCAACAAAGGCCCGTTGTTGTCCCTTTCTTGCTCAAAGTAGTGCATTAACGACGCCACGAGTTCCTTACACCGACTATTTAACTGTTTGGGCATCTTTATATACCAAAATTGCCTTTATCTACTCGTAAAATGAATAATTTTGTTTTGAAACAAACAGTTGTTGATTTACAGTATGCGGGGCCAAAGGATTTATAAAGATTTGAAATGCCACAAATTGATTCAGTGTCAAAATTAATACAAATGTCAGCTCCCAGTTTAAATAAGTTTCAAGGTGACAATGTGTCAACGCTGCGAAATCGGTTTAGTGCGTTTACATGTCGATAAGTGATTGGAGCGTTTGCAAAACATTTTATTTCGCATAATGCGTCTAAATTTATCAGAAAGCAACTTATGTGAGATTTTAATAACAATGTTTATATGACTATTAACCATAATAAGAGAGTAATGACCATTTTACAATTTATATATCACATTAATATGAAACTGCAATAGAGCAATTGTTTGTGATAGAAACCTAGGCATTAGGTCGAGGAATTTTTATCGTGATGACGTGCACGCCACTTTGTTTGGCGTTGACTATATTCATGGTCTTGGAGGCATAGTTTTCAGGACTGAGGATAGAGTGGAAGTTTTTGCTGACATCACGGAAAGCCAGTTCTCTCCCAATTATGATCTGGACAATGACCTTGAAGAGGAACGACTAATTGTAAGATCTGTCAGGAGATACTTCCGAGCGAATGGCGATACCAACATCGGTGCTAACATCGGTGACTCCTTTTCAGGAGATTCTTCTACGGAAGACTCTTCAGATGAATCTCAGCATAGCACATCAACTGAATCTTCTGAGATTCCGTTTTGCACACCAGCAGAGCTCCAAGGCCACATAAAGGACCTAAAGGTGCGTAAAGCACCTGGACAGGATCAAATCACCAACAAAGCACTGAAGTTGCTTTCGCTCAAGGCTTTGACTTATCTGGTGGCAATAATCAATTCAATGCTCAGAACTCATTACTTTCCTAAGGCGTGGAAGGTCGCTGAACTCATCATGATCCCAAAGGCAGGTTCGATGTTCCCTCAGGATTACCGCCCCATTAGTCTGCTGTCAGCTCCTTCTAAGCTCGCTGAAAAGGTGATTTATCGTCACCTTGAGAATTTCTCGTCAGATCACGATCTGAGTCCTGACGTGCAATTCGGCTTTCGGTCTGAGCATACTATGGAGCTACAGGCAGTTAGACTGGTGGAGCATGCAACCGCGGGGTCCACCCTGAACAAAAGTACTGGTATATTGCTTTTAGATGTATCAAAGGCATTTGACAAGGTGTGGCACATGGGCCTCTTGTATAAGCTCATCCAAAAGGGTTTTACATTTTGGCTGCTAAAACTGTTGAAATCTTTTCTAGAAGGGAGGAAGCTTCGGATCAAAATTAACAATGTGTTGTCAACAACATGGCCTGTAAGAGCCGGTGTTCACTCAGGGTTCGGTCTTAGGACCAATCCTTTATTCACTTTATATACAAGACGTCCCTTGTCCCAGCAACTATGAAGTCAATCTCTATGCTAACGACACTGCATTGCTAGCCCAGTCTTGTTCTGGTAACCTGGTTCAGGACAGGCTGCAGAGTGCGGCGGAGGAAGTATTGGAGTGGGCGGATCGGTGGTTGATCAAAATTAATACTTCGAAAACGCAGGCAATCTATTGTACTAAAAACCGCCACGGTGCCCCCTCAGAGATATCAGTGAATGAAACTCGTATACCATGGGAGCAATCTGTCAGGTATCTTGGAGTCATCATTGACAAGTGGTTGACCTGACAGAAACATACTGATACTTTGAAAACAAAATTCCAAATTACCTTTCGGCAGCTTTATCCTCTGTTGTGCAGAAATTCAAAATTAAGTTTGATCAACAAGATTCGGTTGTATAAAATGGTCATAAGACCCGCAATCACCTACGCATGCGCGGCTTGGTGCTTTCTTGCCAAGACGCACATGCAGAGACTGCAAGTCCTGCAAAACAGAACCCTACGCTCAACTACTAACGCCCCTTGGTACGTGTCAAATGAGACCATTCACAGAGATCTTGATATCCCATATCTGAGGGATCATGTAAAACAACAGGCGCAGCGGCGTTATAATCAAGCGGAATCGCACAGAAACCCTCTGTTGCGTGATTCAGTAGACTACACAGTCGAGCAAGTTCGCAAACAATCCAGGCCGCACCTCGCACTCTGATCAAAATGAAATTGTAAATTCAGTATACAAAACCGATCAAAATTATTTTTTGGAGATACAAAATAATTCGAGTAGTCAAAGCAATAATGCTTAAGCTATTTCAAATAATTTACTTCTTCTCTTTGCTCTATTTCTTCCTTCCTTTCTTTCCTTCTTTCCCTTTTCCCCTTAAACATGTTTGGTATCTGGGTAGCCAGTCCTGACAGACTAACAGACCGACGAGACTTTTAACTAAGAGCAAAGGTTCACCGGACCGCTCTGACGAATAATGACGAATAGTAGTAGTCAATCTATGGACTTGATATGTTTCCATTGATCACTGTTACACCAAATAGTTTATGAAACGGTGGAAGTGCATGAAAGTTATTCGATAGCCTAATAATGCCATCATGTTCTATCATCCATCAAATTAAGTTTATTCTTTGTTTATCTCAAGCAGCATACATTAAATATTATCAACTTATCACCATCGCAAATTCATTAGGCTCTTGTAGCATGTGATATTTGGGAAAAATTGTATTTGAATGATAAGAGGCAAATTTGATGTTGGAGGTACCTCAAGAATCACCGAAAATTAAAGGTCACAAAACATAATGAATATGATTACATAATATCATTATCTTTGAATTTTAATCAAGTGTAGGCAGGTTAAGGTCCAGTGATTTTTACTTTCAATTATCTTCATACAAAACTTCAGTCAATTTTGAGCCATCTGCGGTGATATTAACTCAAATGCAAGAGTGATTATAGTAGGTTATATCACCCTTTCCTCTAACCGAGTCGATAGGATTTTTTTTTTAGGAACAAAATCATTATAAAATTGTGGATCGCCCTGACATCAAGCAGAAACCAAAAGTTATGGGTGGATTTTAAGAAACGCGGAAGTCATTTTAGCTTGAAGAAAACAAAGCAGATATTTGGATCAAGTATACGCTAAATTCTTGTAAATTTTAACGATGTTTTGGAAAACCTTACTTTATATGGAACTGGCAGAGCCATTGCTGATAGAGACTGTGCAGGCCGTGGTAAATGGCGGGCGCTATGGTACTGAACAAGGGCTACATATTGATAAACCTACTGCAGAGGATTGTTAAGGACTATTGCAGATGGAATAAAAAATCTTTCACTGAAGAAAGTGGGGAGAAACTTTATCTCATGTAGAGGGGCAGTAATGGAACAAAATTGAGCTGGAAGATATAAATGTGTTTTACAACTTGTTAATTTGGACATTTAGTACAATGACGGGGCTTGATGGAGAAATTAAAAGTTACATGCTTTTTAGCGGAGTGTACTCGCTGGTTTGCCGTTTGTTTCTCTGTTTCCATACGACTAGATACCGTATTGTTGATAGCAATAAAGCATTAAACAACATTATATTCGGTTGTCCATGGTTACAGAGACGGAAAGCAGACAGATTCAGTTCAGCCCATGTTGATTTCAGATGTGGATTTCGGAAAGGAAGGTCGTGTCATAAGGCCTACATGTCCAGGCAGCGCATATAAACTCGGATACATTTAGACGTTATATAACAATCCTTACCGCAGCCGATCCCTGTATGCTACAGGTATCCGTCATTTGTAAACCACTAATCACTACACTCCACCCACACGGTATCACCGCACACGCGCAGTAATCCGAGCGGACAATCCTACCTGTTGAGGTGGTCTCCTTCGCGCTTTCTCCAGAGCCTCGCTGGACCCGTGGACCATCTTGTTGTGCCTGAGCAGCTTCTGGAAGTGTCTGCTGGCATACAAGCAACTAGGACACTCGTAGATCTTCACCTTCTCATTGTGGCTGTCGCGTAGATGGTAGAGGTACTGTCTGGGGTTCTGCGTGAAGAAGTCACAGGCGCTGCACGTGTAGTTCCTCTTGACTTTGCAGTCGGGCAGCCCGGCGGCTGGCGACGCTGCCGCGGCGTCGTCCTCGTCGGCATCGCCGTCGGACGTGGTCGTCGCGACGCTTTCCACGTCACACACTCCGGCAGATGTGCTGGCAAGATGCTGCGGAGATGATTGCAGCGGTGGAGGGTCGAATAGGCTGCGTACCACCAGGCCGTTCACGGATCGGTGCACCATTGAGGATGGCACCGACATGGCACCTCGGACTGTCCACTCCTACTTCACCTTTCTGCAACAAAATAATTAATTTATCTGTCTGTGTTGGATTTTAGGAAACTTCTTTAACATTTTGGCACTGACAGTTTTTCATTAACCATGCACCTCTTGAAAACAGATTCTAAGATTCAGTTTTATAGATATGTCCTTTAGGCGGCTTGGGGTATGCTGGTTTTGCGTGGTGCCACCTTGAAATTCAAAATGACTTCGCGCAATCTCAGCATGTTACGAAACTTTTAGGCTGTTCTAGTAACACAATGTATTGGAATGTGATAATGAAAAGAAAAAAACTTGGAAGACAGATAAGTAAAATATATTGTCACTCTACTAAAGATCTTTTGTGAATGAAACGTTTACAGGGGTGACTTTGTAAAGACGGGTTTACACGCTTCGTCTTATTGTACATTTTGTGGGGCAGGACAAATCCTATTCAATAAAACGTGGCTTGTAAACAGCAAAACGTACATCTTGTCGAATCGAAATGAAATCAAAGGTCAGATTGATAAGACAAAACGAAACTGTAGACTCACGTTCAGACAAGACGTCCGATCTTGGCTCAGTTCACGAATAGCACCACTTCAGTTCGCTTCTTTTTTCCCCAAAAAACGTACTAATGACATACTTGCGGCAACCCACGATTTTCTCGGGGAATTCATTGAAATGCATGAAAGTATCCCGTGCTTGAGGCAAGTAAAAAATAAATACCGTAATAAAAAAATGTTTATGAGGATCTTATAAAAAAATACAAAGAGTGGACCCGCTGGCAAATAGACTGTTACAAAAAAAACTCGTTGAGATCGGTTTACCAAAACGAGTTGGAAAAAGCGAGGGTATCAGAAATCTCTGTTACTAACTATAGCGATTGACAATAAGCTGAGGTGTCCATTCATAAATAATTGCTCCAGTCATCAGGTTCGCTCCTTAGTTGTTTCAATAACGAGACGAGAGAATACTGAATTCTTTTCAGAAGCCACTACCTTGACCATCTTGTCTTTTCCCCCTTCATCCCCTTTCCTCTCAGTCGTTGTTTCCTTCTAGTTGGAAAAATGAAAGAAATCAGCAGGGTTTCCTCCATAATAAAAAAAATGTCTCTCAAAGAAATTCACTAAACAACCCTTACACAACTCAAGAGTCTAGATTGGAATTGTAGTAGAAAGCGGAAGGGAAAACAGGTAGTGTGTATACTAGACAAAACGTACGTTTTGTATGCCCGAGAAAACGCACACTAAGACGTAGCGTGTAAACCCGCCTTAAATCACTTGGTAATATAATACCGTATGCAGATGAAATTTGACTCTGGAATAGTGTGTAAATTTATTTTGCGAACACTTAGCTTATTACAGCTTCATGCAATGACACTTGATGACAGCCCACTGATTTCTAACCACGTTTTCTGCGACCATTTTTATTATAAGAAACGTGTGAAACATGTACGTATATTCTGTCAATTTTAAGCAATTTTTGGTAACCAAATAAAGTAAACAAAAAGTGAACTATGACAAGCGACAACACTCTTATTGCCAAGGTCTTGAGCACGGGAAGAAAAGTGCACTTTCAGAAGGATTACTTCTACGCATTCTTGCAGGGCAGTACAAAGTACCCACTGTAACAATTGACAAACGCAGACAGTAAAGAAGATTTTGTCAATACATGTGGTTTTAGTGACCAGACAAGTGTGGGGAATTATTGAAATATCTTGGAGACAATGAAACAATAACAGTTTCATTTGAAAATAATACCATGTTTTCATCAATCACAAAGAAAAGTAATCTGACAGGACTCTCAGAACAAGTATACTAAGTGACATATAAATCCGAACACCCAGTTTAAATGGTTTTATTTTAATAAAAGTTGGTGAATGTATTTATCTTACTGTAAATAACAAGTGAAAAAATGTTCAGCCTTATCAGTTGGACATTCCGGTTTTTATACTGCTTTTTTTTAATTCACTAACGCTCTAAAAATGAATATTTCAGTCGCAGTAAAGAATCAATGTTGGCGGATTTTGGTTCTTGACATCCTTTACGATCGGTTACGATGCCTAGAGTACGGAGACCTGTACGATTTCGTCAACTTAGTGAGTTTGATAGGGGCCGTATAGTGGGACTTCGGGAAGCTGGACTTTCTTTTCGGGCAATTGCAGTTAGAGTGCAAAGAAGTGTAGACACTGTGGTTAGGTGTTGTCAGGCATGGATTCGAGAAGGCCGTACGCAAAGAGCAGGGGGCACTGGACGCCGCCGTAGAACAACAGACCGTGAAGATCGCCGCCCAAGATTATTGGCCTTAAGGGACCGTTTCTCCACTACCAGGTCCATTGCAAATGAATGGTTTGCAGAACACGGAGACCTATTGGCATACGAAGTGTTTACCGACGAATCAGAAGTTTTGGCTTGTTTTCATACCGGCCACACTGGGTCTTCCCTTTAACTCGAGAACACCGACGTAATCGCGTTGAGTGGTGCAGACAACGGTCACTCTGGGATCAGGAATGGAACAGTATTATCTTTAGTGACGAGTCTCGATTTTGTTTAGGCATGCACGATGGTCGTGCCAGGGTTAGAAGGCGACGTGGTGAAAGGAGGAATCCACAGTTTTTTGTTGAAAGACATGTTCATCACACTGTTGGAGTTATGGTTTGGGGTCCTATAGCTTATGGTTCCAGGTCACCTTTAATCTTCATCAGAGGTAACATGAACGCGCAGCGTTATATCCACGAAGTTCTAGAACCCCATCTTTTACCCTATCTTGACACCCTGGCAGATCCAACTTTCCAACAAGATAATGCCCGACCACATGTTGCAAGAGTCACAATAGACTTCTTTCAACATAATGATGTCACATTGTTACCATGGCCACCAAGATCTCCCGACTTATCCCCAATTGAGCACGTGTGTGATATGATGGGTAGGAGATTGCTCAATTTGCAACGTCCTCCTCAGACTCTAGAAGCACTTCGAGAGGAGTTGGTGGTTGCCTGGAATGAGATACCACAGGAGGACATTGACCACCTGATCAGAAGCATGCCTAGGCGCGTTGGAGAATGCGTAGCACATCAGGGTGCATCCACACATTATTAAAGGTCAAAGGGCTTTAAAGCAGTGCAATCATTTTGAAATTTTTATCATTTACTTATTATGCTTCATTAAGTACTTATACAAAATTTTATTAAAATAAAACCATTTAAACTGGGTGTTCGTATTTATAATGTCACTTAGTATATTTTACTGGTGATAATTTTAGTTCTTGGGTGGTTCTTCGTAAGTGATTTTGTGCATATGTTTTTAATTTCAAGCAGACCTTTATTTATTCTTTAGACTTCATTGGAAGAGCAAGCGGGCAGCGCCTACCCAAGGGGTACATCAGGGACATGCAAAACCATGTTAACTTCTATAATAATCAACAATTTCTGAGAACGTACTGGTTTTCAAAAGTCTCCGGGGCGGGGGTAAATATATAATTTACGTATAAAATACATGAATCTTTTTGAAATGCTTTACAACTGGGTGCAATACTGGTTGCCTATGCCTAGTTATCTCTCAATATTCTATTCGCTACAAATTCGAGAAGGCATTGCTTAGTAATATTTAGCACAAAAAGAACCAACGATGACAGCGGGTGATGATAACTATTACAACCTACTATAAAATACAAATGTTAAATGCTCCGCTGAACGTCCATCAAGGAAGCGTTATTGTTTCATTTTTTCCGAGGAGTATAAATATATATATATATAGTTAACTATAATATTTTTACTTGCATAATTCTTTTTATACCATCACTGTTATCCAGTATGTTACCATTCATAGAGCTGAAGCTGATAGGTAGTATAAATCAGCTAAATGGCAACACTAGCCCAATAATCCCATTAGGGCTAGGTGGTCAATACCCAATCGGTATTGCCATTTATGCTTCTTATCATGCTTGAGTTGTGTAATACTAGTAGTGACATGATGTGGATGTCTGACCGAACTTTCGGTTTTCGTTTCGGCCAGTTTCTGTACAAAATCAGAGTTTCGGTACCGAAAGTACTTTTGTATATTTTCGGACGTCTTCGGACCAATTTATTCTGATCAAAAATCGAATTTGCTGGGGGGAAAAATGTTGAAAAATTGTTACTCATGTCATATAATATCAGACTGTACAAATCGACGATATTAAGCGGTGATCTTTTGTTCGAATTGGTATAATTGGTATAATTGGTAGCGGTTCGGAAATTGTCGTTTGACGTCGACGAGGTTTTTCCGGTTTTTCTCCCGGTTCGCGAAACGTTCGGAAGGAAAGCGATACCGTTTCGGAAACTGGAAACTCGGCGTTTTATTAAATTATGTTCTAATGGCCTATTGCACCAACATTGAATTTGAGTTTTGCAAGCCTACAGAAATTTAGGCACTAAAAAAATGTAATTATGATGGTAGATAACTCACAAATTATTGGGGAATTCCAGTTCAGGTTCAATTTTATGCAGAAGATTTAAAACTATACAAACTAAATTTCTTAAAAAATGACACAGTTACTAATCTATTGAAAATGGTTTTTGTTTTTGATCTTTAAATAATTCTTGTAGAAAGCCACTATTTATTAGTTCAAGGATACCCAAATCATTGTTTAAAATATCATCATGACCAATAAAATTCATTTTTGAAGACTAAAAATGTATTAGACGATATTTAACCTCCAAAAGTAGATCGTTTATGTTAAACACAGATCACAAAATTTTAAACGGCGTTTAAGTCCTTGTGCAATAAAAATCTCCAAATTAAACTAGGTTTCCGTCTAAACTAGGGTTAAATAGGTGCAACAGCCTATAGGTTGGTATTTTTCGCTTATTGTCTGTCTTTTTTACAAAATAAAAGACATTATTTATTATATAAGAGACAAATGTAGTACTGTTTTAGTTTTCTTTACCTAAGTCTTTATTATATTTGATAAAAGATTATTACATATATTTTGGGCTTTGTGGCATGCGGTTAGAATCGGGATAAACTAGAGTAGTTTTTAACAGAATTCTAAGAA